AAAAAAAAAAACTAGGAACTTAGTTAACGACTAAACAGAATACATTTGTCGAAAGATTCCTAAACTATCAAAATGCTGACCACTCAGTAAATTCGACGGGTTTTCTCCAGATTGTGGACAATTCTGCTGAGTTGCTTGACGCAATTCATCCTATAGAAGAAAGAACAAAGAAAAATAGCCTGTTATACCAACTTAATTTCATTAACTTGTCTATGCCACCTTAATTATTTTTTAATCCCCTCTGAAATGACTCTCTTGAAACCTCTTTTCTACCTTTCATCCTCTTCTCACCCACTTACTTTTTTTTTCAACAGGCTCAATTTCAGCGTTGCAGAACTGCACTCACATCATGGCTTAATCCATTATACCGTACTATATGTACCAATTCGGATCAACTGGTTAGGGCGCAGCAGCACTTTAACTAGTTGATCCAAATCGAAGAGTTCGCTGTATCCAAGATTGATTCAATACACTTCTCGAAAAACGGATGAAAGGCTTGAATCTCAGGAAGCGAAAAGCTTCTGGTAGAGCTCCGTTCAACATAACAAAAAGTCCAATTATCACATAGGAAAACAACCATGTTTACCTCCTGCTCGACAGTTTGATTCAAAGGGTCCACCAGAGGAGTGATTCTTCCATTGTTATTCTTCGTGAGATAGTAACCAAGACCCATAGTTACGGCGCCAGCTGCAGCGAGTGAGAAGTATGAGGGGAATGATCCAGATGTTCCAACGAGAATGTGGTTTACAAGGTCAACGAAACCTCTGAAACATATATTTATACGAAGCAAATTTAAGTTTATAAGATTGGTGTTCATCACATGAGCAATACGCCATGAACCCAACAACGTCGAGGAAACCCAAACACGATAGGGTTTTTGAAAGCAAACATAGGGCCACGACTACCACTTTGGCAGAAAAAAACTATGACTAAAATGAGGCATGATGCTTGTCGGTACTCCAGTTGTTCCCAAGCAGAGTATGATGATGTCACATCTAAAGAAGATACTCCAATAAGCAGTTCAGAGCAAACGAGCCCTAGTTAGAGGCTAGAAAGCAATCGTATTAGTGAACTGTGGGCGATAAGGTCGAACCGGTTGCATGAATTAAGATCGCGACAGATATAAGAACGTCGATGACTTTGAAACAAACTGTACGCGAAGCATACACACTTTCACAATCTCACGTAAAAAAGTGTGAAAGCTAGATACCAACTGTTGCCTGCACATAGAAATGGCCATGAAGTGCTAGCTTTAACTCCTCTTTAATAGCTTACCTGCTCTGCGAATGCATCCATACCGCGGTGTCCTTCATCATACTGTCTATCAGCCGATAATCAAATATGGTTGGGAGCAACTCAAATCCGTCCTTCAAAAATACGAGGTGAATTGCACGATATAAGAGGCAATCACGTAAGACGACATCTTGCAGTAACGAATGGTAACGTATGAGTGTGAACAAAACTTTGACGAAGGCGACCGTTGTAGACGCGACAATTATGATCAGATGGATACAAAACGGTGAAGAAAAGGTAAAACCCATTCAATTCTAAATAATTCATTACTGCGGAAATAATCGAGAACATCCGGAAGTGTTCAAATGATAAATGATATTCCTACTGGTATAATCCTTTCGATAAAGATCGGTCAAAGCTGCATAATGCAAATATCATAAGCAGCCCCGTGCACGGTGAACGAGTAGCAATTCGCGGTAAACGTGATAGTAAAATCACACCACCGCAGTCGTCATACGAGAACCACACTGATACCGCAATTGCTAGCGTACGAAGATGGGAGGAGGGGACAAAGTCCAACAACCAAGGCCACGCCTGAACTACAAACGCCAGTGAATCGTCAACATTAGGTAAGATGAAAAAACAACAAGCACTGGTACAACGGGGTGATATCAGTGGCATTATTTAGACCACATAGAAAAGCAAAGGCAAGTCGATCATTCTTCGACAACCTGTCTTTTTATGATCTTGCTCTTAAAAACCTTTCTTATGACTTAACAAATGGATACCTGCAGTCATCAGCAAACGTTACAACAAAGAGTATATTACATAGGCTGGCTATTTTTAAGCACGACCTTGACAAACCACAGAGGACGACACACCTAACACACCTTGAAAAGCACAGAATTGCATCGTAGCTGGCTAATGTTAACACTAGTTCGCCTCCGGGGATTTAAAACAGCGGTGTTCGACTTTCTTGTACTTGAAGTTTCCAACCTTTTGTTCAGAATGTTCTACTTATCAAGAGGGAAGGCAGAGAACAGTGAAGATTTCAATTCGTCAGAGCGACAGGAACAATCAGCATATCTCGAGAACTGTCTCAATGCGCGCTAAAACACCTGTGAGCGCATCAGCCAATCGAGACAATCACCTGCGCATTGTCGTCCATCAAATCAGCAACTTGAAGGAACTTGTTATGAAATCGGGCGAGAGCACGACCAACACAGGAAAGTCTCGTGACTGACTTCCGCAGTCCACTAGGATAGGAACATATAAACTCCATAACGACTGTATGACTGTATAAACGGCCAGTAAGGCAGCAGTTGTGCTTGGGAAAGTAAAACGAAGAAACAAACAAGTTTGACAGAAAAGACTGGTCCTTGTAACTCACTGAATACTCGAATAAAATCTCTTCTTAATGTTCTAATCAGACACTAAACGCCATAGCATTCTGATATCGACTATAGAAGTACTACCCACATTCCCCATCAGCCGCCTCCTCCGAGTGAGAACGATCCACTGGATTACTCGCAACAGGAACAAACGGAAACGTTACTGGCGCCCGCTTGATGAAATCGATAATTAACGGGACAACAGGTGATACAGGTAATGAGGATGCACCATCACTTACAACTGAAAGACAATTTCATACAAAGTATTCTTCACTTCCCGGTAAACGTCTGTACTTCCTATTTATTAAACTGTTTAACATTCATACTGAGTGGGTGCATTCATTCTCCACCGATGCCCATTGTTTCTATCAACCGATCCACCGACCGACCAACGCTGTTTCTGGATATGATGACAACGCAGTACACCTATGGATGGCTTCTTTCAGATTTCAACGATTAATCGTGCGCGCGAACGAGCGAGCGGCAATGCGACGCGGCGCTAGACAGGTGTTAACAACAATGGGCGCCGATGGATCACGTGCCAGTGCTGTCAACAGGTAGCTAGCGCCGCGTGGCATGCACGCACGCAAGATGAATCGCTGAAGTCTGAAAGCAGGTGATCACGCACTATCATAACTCACGCGGCTCTTAATGCGATCTGTCCTGCGTGGTCAACACGTGGCCAGGAACGCCGTCGATCGGTCGGTCGGTCGGTGGAAACAATGCGCGCCGGTGGAGTCTGAATGCACCCAGTGATGTACGCAGTTATAATTGGGCGTTAGCTACAATGATATTAAGATTTCTAATTCATTTCACTAAATCGCGAATCAACCAATTCTTAATCTAGTAGTATTGCCTGCTACACCACGTTCCCATACTTTGACCTTCGTTTCTAAACTTTGAGACATCCCAAGGCAGTTCAAGGTACAGTGATTGAATCCGTCCAAATGAATTAATATAGCAGTACACCTGTACCTTCAGAATGTAATCAAACTGGAATTTGGCAAGAAACGTACTTTATATTTACCAGGCACTAAGTACAACCACGGTTAGGCCAAAAAAAGTTTGTTTTCATACGGTTGACAGTAAACGTACTTATCACCGGGTTTGTCATTGTTTACCGATGTTGATAAGCAGAGATGCTGAAATGATTAATAAGCTATGGTTATCAACAGCGCGCTGCTGTTTTTCGATACTTAGGAATTTCACCTCACACAGCTAGGTTTTGTTTGACACTCCCAATCAACAGGTTGCTGAATAGTACGAGGTGATGTACGTCAGAATGAGCTGGTCAGTTGTCAAGCGGAAACGTACGCTAGACAAATGAGGTGGGAATCATAGAGTAACTCCTGGAACGCTTACCACAACTGCTTCCTCACTCTAAATTTCTTTCGTCTTGGAATCGAACCTCCTTTAGACATTTAAATGAATCGACTGCTGCCATTGACTACAAGCTTAAGAAGAAACATGGAGCACTTCAAGGTTCGACCCTTCCCGAAGTCCTTCATGGAATCGAGTTGAAAAAGGAGAGAACTTGAACATATCAGGAAAGAGTGCCGCAACATTTCCAAAGCTGCTCAATAAAACACTTGACGCCAGCTTGTGAGCAGCTTCAGATGCTTCCCTTCCATCCCCAATTACATTTCAGTGGGAAAACAATTCAATGAAATTTAAAGAAATGCTATGCTATGGAGCATTCCCGATAATTGCACTTAACACGAGTACTTATAAAATTAGTCACCGCACGCTCCACAGAATCACTGAAGAAATACGACCATCAATAACGCTGACACCGGGCAACAACACAATACACATGAAAAAAAAGAAGAGCCGGCATGCATCGTCGATGAATGAAAAATGATTGCAAGACGGATCAAAACGACCGTGGATGGAGTCCGAGCAAATATAAGCAACTGAAACCTCAACCCAAAAGCAAAAAGCAGACTTTACCCAAAGCTAACTCCTTCCCCTTCATTTCCCTTAGACATATCAGGATAAGGCAGTCGCCCCAAAACACGAGATACTCGCTTCCGAAAACAGCAACACATCGTAAACATGGCTCAGTTCCAATCAAAGTGGTTGCACGAGCACTTGTCGCGCCGGGACCCATGCTAGTTCATTTGACCCTTTTAAGGAAAACCTCAGGGGAATTATAGGGTGTATTTTTTGGGAAAGATAATCAAAACAAGATTGTAACGATGTTTGTCCTCATTTAATCGATCTCGCATAACTGATTCATATAGGACCTCGATAAGGGCTTCGTGACCGATTGTCTTCGAAGCTGTTGCACTTAAGCATAAAAAGCATTCACTTTCACGCTTTTGTAGAGAAGATTAGTGTTCATAAGCGATCAAGTACAGGTGAATCACCCCTTCAGAGGAGGAAATTTCAAACGGTGTTCGAACACTAGCACTTCTGGCTGGGAGTTCGGTCATATGACAGCCCAAGGAGTGGAATTGCCATTTCCAATATGTGATGGTAAAACATCGAGTAAAATATAATGCATGTGCTAATTTGAGTGATAAATTTGAGCCCACGGAAATTGGATAAGCGGTTGCGACGCGGCTTTAGCGCAGGAGCAGTTTATACCGCCCAGCGTGGGGAACATTGCCGCGCAATGGGCTTAGGGAATTCGAGTTTGATGTTTCTTCCATGGTCTGGTGCCAACTGACCGACCCTCGAGGGATAGGAAGCTTGGTTGACTTGGGCGGATATCGGTCCGAGATTCGAACCCGTGACCATGCGTGTGAGAAGTGAGCCTCTTGCCATTACACCACTTCCACTCCGATCCAGCTTTCTTTATGTGTGTTCAGCGGTTCTTGTAGCAAAAATAAGTGCCTAAGTGTTCGTACTACTATTACAACGAGACTAATATCCATTTTTTTATCGAACTACTCGGCGATTGGTTCTTCTATAAGGTTCTTTCACTTTCTTCTCGATGCTCCTTTGGGGCTTTATGAACTTGGCTATAAACCACGCCTGGTTTGTCTTATTGTCATAAGCGCTCCTGGTTCCTTTTTCCACACATTTTTCTATGGGTGTTCTCACTTTTCTTGTGTGGAGGGGATTCAGTGGTTTGCGGTATCTCTGATGATAATAAAGTAAATATTCATCATTTAAAGTAGTAAGTGCCGATGCACCGCTATGACAGCCCAGAATAATATTAATAGGTTAGTCTTTAGGGAATACAAAACTTACTTCTCGCCCTTGACGTTGCTAGAGGTAGAATGCTTACAACGCACTTCGTGGTCATGCTAGACCCTACCCTTTCACTAGTGGGCGTTCCCAACTTAAAGTGTGTCTCAGACTAGCCATGGGGATCGTCGACTTTGACGACGATATCCCATCCTCCTTTCGATAACGTGTTCTACTACTCTTTTCACATCTCATTTTACTCCGTAAGCACTTCTAGAAATCAGTTTTCTCTTCGAGGCACCCTTGAATCGTCCTAGTGACTTCGAGAAGGAGTACTGTTTCCAGCTGCTCTGTGGAGACACAATGACAATGGTCGATGTAATGGCTCTTCCCTAAACTTCCACTGGGAAAGACAGCTGAAGAGTTTCTTTCGCTTTACTGCTCTGAATCGACGTTCGAAGCCCATAATTGTTCCTGAGAAGCTATGTAAGGGCTCATACCGATTCTCGCTTCAAGTTACATGTGCTTTTACTTCTTCAACCTCAAGGTGTACTCGAAGAAGGTATTCTAGCCATTCAATAGTGAGATCGAACCCAGTTCCACAATTCTCCTGGGTCCTGGGTCACCCTGAGGTTGTACATACATTCATATGTTATATTCCGATACCGGACTGGTAGGAACGACACGAAAGCATATAGCTCTGGGTGAGAAGTTTTGTGCCAAGGTTAATCTGCATAGTTTTTATACCAAGAAGACTTTCTTCAAGACTCGTTTGATTCGTAGACATTCCAGTCAAGTCCGGAAGCCATATACAAATCCCACACCGACATCGGTCCTACTTAAAATAACAAATCTAGGGAAAGGAGTTAGAGGATTCTACAACACATGTCTTACGAAGCTCCAGCTCTGTTAGTCCTTATTATGTGCCACATGTATCCCTTACAAACTGGAATTCTCTATGGTGACGGATCAACGCTCATAAATTTCTGGTCGAATACACAAAGACACACATCGACGCCCCTACCTACAGACATACCGACATACTGAGACACAAGACACCGGCACATACCGGCACACACACTGACAAACACGCGCACAACAAACAAATAAATAGAAACAGTCTAGCGACACAGCAACAGAAACACTTAGCAAATCTTGGTTACTACGGCAAGCAGTTCGTATGCCATTATAATTTCTCTCTCTCCTTTCTTCTCTTTCTGCACTGACCACAAATCTCGCACCGGTAGCTCTCTTTACCGATCGTCGTCGCTGGCTCCTTTTCTAACCCACGCTCCCAACATCTACTGCTTTGTCTATGAAGTTTCAGTGATCTTTTAGGCTCCTTGAGCTCGTTTTCTCTTCGCAGCAGTGACCACTCTGGCCGGCTTGTCATGGGTCCAGCTATCAAGTTCCTTTGTGAGCTGTCATAATGGGAGTTTTTCTATTAAGAAGCCATTCAATTATTCTTCCTTCCCGCACTTGAGATTGTCACCGAAACTGATCAGTGCGCTTTCCTTTACTTCAGGTCGTGTTGCTCAGTGCCAAGCTTTAGCTGTCTAAAAACATTAAAAATGCCTCGTGAGGCGTTCTTTTTGCCTTGGCAAGCCTTCTGCAATATCGAGTGAGGACGAACTTTTGGGCAGAAATGAGGAATCTACTAGTGAAAGTGCTGGAAACAATTTCTTGTCTGAGAAAAACGTCGTCTGCAGAAAAATTCCCTGCAGGCTTGAAGATCCATGTTCACAAAAGCTTGTAT